GGGGGGATAGGGATGGAAACAAGCCACAGCAGCGCAGGGACCGGTGTGGGTGTGAACAAAGCACCCCAGCCCTAGTGCCTTCATGGCCCCAGCGGCCCTGGTGGCTGTGCCACCTCAGTCCCTGCAGTTTGCATGTTGCCAGTGCCTGTGTGACCCCAAGGAACATGTCACTTTGGTACCTGTGTGGCCACAGTGCTGCCCCCGTGGCTCTGGAGCCCATGTCACCATGGGACACGGCCCCAGTACTCACATGCTCCCATGTTACCTTAGTCATGCCTTTGTCACCTTAGTGTCCATATTGCCCTGGTGCTTGTGCCACCTCGCTGCCCTTATAACCCCAGCGCTTCCATCACCTCGGTGCACGGCCATGGTGCCCGTGTCACCTGGGTGCATGGCCACAGTTACCTCTGTGGAGTCCTGTGCCCATGCCACCGCGCTGTCCCTCATGCCTGCCTGGCCCCATGGTACAGCCCGTTGGTAAGGCACGTCCCCTGTCCCGGCAGTGTGCACCTACTGCAGCACTGGGGACCTGCACGCGCTCTGGCGCGCCGCCGGCTGCTTCGCCGAGGCCACCGTCCGCCTGTTCGCCGCCGAACTGGTGCTGGTGCTGGGTGAGTGACCTGCCATGCCGGGGGCAGCCACCACTGTCCCCACCAACGGGGTCCCACAGGTAGGGTCAGCCATCCCCTAGCATGGGCAGCTGCCTGCCGGGTGCACGGGGGGTGGCAGTGGGTACCGTGCTGGGAGGGGTCACGTGGCACTGATGGCTCTGTCTTCTCCCCAGTGTACCTCCACGACCTGGGCATCATGCACAGAGATGTGAAGGTGGGTGGCAGCAGTGCTGGGGGGCTGGAGGATGGGGTGGGGGGGTTTCTGAACCCCTGGTATGGAGAAGCCACCTCAGTGCCTCTCTCATTTCAGATGGAGAACATCCTCCTGGATGAGAGAGGTAAGAGATTGGTGGCACCGCCTTGGGGACATCCCATCCAGGGGACACCTTCTCCATGGGGACAACTTCTCCTGCCCCTGCAGGGCACCTCAAGCTCACAGACTTTGGCCTCTCCCGGTACCTGCAGTGGGGCGAGCGAGCCCACACAATCTGTGGCACCCTGCAGTACATGGGTAAGGGGGCAGAGGGGGGCTACGGTGGGGGACATGGTCCCCCCAGGTGCTCACCCACTCATCCCCACAGCCCCAGAGGTGCTGAGCGGGGGACCCTACAGCCACGCAGCCGACTGGTGGTCCCTGGGAGTCCTGCTCTTCGCCCTGGCCAGCGGGGAGGTGAGGACCACAGTGTGGTGGGGGAATCAGGGACACCCCAGGGAGAGCCAGAATTCATTCCATTCCCCCTCAGTTCCCTGTGGCACCGGCAGGGGACCATGTGGCCATGCTGGAACGTGTCAAACAGAGCAGCTATGAGAGCCCACCTGCATTCAGCCCTGAGCTGGCCCGGCTGCTTGCCGAGGTAACCTTCCTGCCTTGATTTTGGGGTTCCCTCTGGATGCTGGGATCCCCACCACTCACTGTCCTCCCTCTGTTCCCCAGTTGCTGTGCCACAACCCCCTGTACCGCCTGCGCTACCTCCACCACTTCCAGGGCCACCCGTTCTTCCGTGGAGTGGCCTTCGACGCTGACCTGCTGCAGAAGGACCCGGTGGTGGTGGCAGTGGCCCCGCAACCCCGCGAGCAGTCCCCGCCCGACCCCGCCACCTTCGCCGACTTTGACTACGACCTCGCCGCCTCCCCGGACCGGCCCTGGCCTGGCTGAGCCACCATGGCTGGGACCCTCGGCATCGCTCAGGGACATCCCCCCACCCCGGCAGCGGGTCGGACCCTGCTGGGCCGGGTCCCCCACGGGCTACCCGGGTACCCCCAACCTCACCCCCGGGTACCTCAACTCTGTACCTCTCCCCGCGGGAGCAATAAACCCGAGAGCCGCGGGCACTGCTGAAGGTGCTGCCCTGACTCCTGCGGGACGTGCGGGGGGAAAGCGCGACCACCGCGGCGGGTCGCGGGACTGGAGCCCCGATCCCTCGGGTCGGGGTCGGGGCAGATCTGGAGGGGGGCGTGTAAGGCTGGTTCCCCAGGGGCGGG